GTTCTTACTCCAACAATTATTTAGGCTTTTCATATAAAGCAGAATGGCTTCAGCAGGAGAAGCTACAAGAATCCTATCCAAGAAGCCTCCCCTGCCCCAGTGGTTAGGGACACTTTTTACTTATCTTTCAAATCCTTGCAGCAAACCATGCCGAGACAGGATCTGCACTGAAGTATCCTATATTCCATGTGAGGGATCTAGCCATTGGGATGTGAAATTACCATCACTTTTTCACTGAGCTTAAAGTGAAAAATGGACTGACCTGACTTGAGGCATTACCACCAGGAGAGATTTCATGGTTATGAATTACAAGAACGCAAGATGCACACAAGAACAAGAGGCATCTTTCACAGGCCAGGTTCATCTACTTACATCAGTCAGTATACATAATATACTACTTTTGGTGCCATCCCACTGAACCCACTGACTTTTGTGTCTTATGCCCATACTTCTTCCCCACATTGTGTATAGTGCCGTTCTTCAGTCTTTTTTAATAGAAGAAAATATGTATCCTACTGGTTTGAAAAAGATATCTTGAATATCTTGGCAAGTGGGGTGGCAAAATGAATAAAGTACGTAGAATTTAAATAAATGAAAAAATGACTGCTTAACAAAATCAGTTTACTCTTATAATTGCAAACATTTTAATTAAACTGTTAGTAATATAAATTACCAGTTACCCTTGGGCACTCCACAATGCTAAGAGGTGCTGACATGTATTTGACAAGTGGATTGGAATGCATGTTCATGTGTTTTGTTTTGCTGTTTTAATTTGCAGCTGCTTCATGGACCAGTGAACCATAATCAAGTTAGCAGTTGCACAGAAAAGTAGGGACCTAACTCAAGGATGCTGAGCTTCTACATAGGTGGCAGAATACTTAAATATGGGTCTTGTAAAACTGAGTATCTACCCTTGCCCTTGTTCTACCTAGAAGTAAGCTGTTGAAGGGCACAGAGAATATCAACAGTAGAGCAGGTGCAGAAACCAGGTCTGCCAAGTGCCAGGCTCATAGCCTTGACCTGTGTTCTGTCTTATACTGTCTGTATGCAAGGTGACATGCATTAACCCTCCAAAATTAGGGTGCCAGCCATAGACAGAGGTTTTAAAGAAGATCTGTAAGATGATTTTATATCAAGCTGCTTGTACATAGATCTGTATCTGCCACACTCATGTACACCTACAGTTTAGCTATTGACTCTTCCTGGTTTTCACCTAGTCTCAGCTTTTCTCCTTTTATCTCCCACAGCTGAACACCTCCCCATCCTATTCTGGGTCTCTGATTATGGGTTAAGGAGTCTTCAGGTGAGCATAGGTGGGATACATTTCTCTTCACCTTTTTCTGTTCTTTGAGTAACTCTTGGCATATAAAGACTTCCCATATTATGATGAGGAATAGGAAGGGAATAACAAGCTGATTCCAAAAGATCTAAAAATGGGGGTATAAAACATTACCCTTTCCTCTCAGTTCACACCTGCGGTTTCCCCCCCAGCGTCTTGTCCCATCTTAGCATTGCAGTCTGCTCAAACACGTCTGCCCTTACACAGCATTTTACTGCTCCATTTCTTCCAACAGCAAGATTATACCATAGGCAACTAACTGCCAGATTGTGTGGTGACCACGGTATATGCAGTTTCCTTTCAAAATAAAAGTTAGACCTAAATTTCTAAGGACATGGAAGTAAATGCTTGTTGGAACCAATTGCTGATACGGAATGAACTTACGCATTAAAGCGAGCTCGTACCACCACACGGCAGAAATTCCTGAATCTGTGCTCACGGCCAACTATGAAAAGTGGTTTATCAAAATAGGGATGATTCTCTCGCAGCTCCTCTTCCTGGACTTTCCTTTCAAAAGATAAAAAGTAAATTATTAAGTGATATACATTATACCTGGCAAAAATATCCCTTACACTTTGTTCTTTTTTTTCATCATGACTCTCAATACTTTTTAATTCATTCAGAGAATACTTAATACAGAAAAGTGTGCACTCAGACATTTGATTTTTAAATACCTTTTCATTTCAGCTTGTTCTTTTTTTTCTTGGATCATCTTTATCTCACTGTCTTCTCTCTGTGCATTTCTGTATCTCACTGTGTTGGAGTGCTAGAAGCAAAATGATTCCTTTTAAATGAGGTCTGTGGGTTGTTGTTTTTTAATATTTCAGATGAAAGCAAGATACGGTATTTTACATAGAAAGATTCTTTATTTTCAAATGCACTGTACATCAACTCAGTCAAGCATATTGTACAGTATTTTCTACCAACAGCACAAGGATGCTTATTTTCATCAAGGTTAATTTCAGTTTTAATTTCATGCGTGAAGTTCCATTCACTGCAACTTTCAACTTTAAAAGCAAAGGTCCTGTAAGCTCAGCTGATCTCTCTGAACTGAAATGAATACCATTAAAGTTACTAAGGGCAAAGATAAGGCAAGAAAAGGCTTTAGACACCCTTTCAGCTTCTCCAGTCTGCTGCGTATGCTGCCAGGCAGTGAGCTGTGCAGAACATACAGGCAGTGACTGCTGAGCGCAGGGAAGGAGGGGAGGTGGGGAGGACGTTGTCTGAGCTCATCCAGTGGAGGGTACAATCGGTATTACTATTCAGAGTTAAGTGAGTCTTTGGAACACTCCTGGAGGGGTAGTGCTGGGTGTTACACTTGTGCATAAGCAAAGCCAAATCTGCTTTAAAAGATTAGTTATTTACAGTTTCTTTCTACCACCATTCAGACAATTAATTAATTATGTCTTATGCAGTTGTTTTTAAGTATGAAGCACATCTAGAAAATGACTGTCATAGTTTGGAAACAGAGGGACTAATATTGCTCCTTGAATTTTCATAGTCACAGAGAACCACAAAATATGAATTTGCAGAAGTGAAACTATAACACAGTGAAATCCATGATTATTATTCTCCCTTTTAGTCTTTATCCTTTTGTCTGACAGTTTGGGTGTTTGAAAAATGCTGTTAAACTTCCAGTGGAAATTCTGAAGTGCTGTTTTGCCAGCCTGAGTGATTGGTGTAATTCCAGAGTAAGGCTTTTTAAGGTGTGCTGGCTAGCAATTGTTGTGGTCCTAATGTAGTGTCTACAGCTTCAGTGAATCTATCTCAGCAAGTGTTTCAAAACCAGTAAGTCTATCAGTGAAATAACCATGTCAATTATTTTGAGGATAATTCTAATGCAGTTACAGTATTTGTTATATGATTTCCTTCCAAGATTTCAAAAGACATATTGTAAACACAGACATTAGTCTTACACAACTATTTATTGTACAGTACATATTCTATTTCTTGTATTATCAAATTAAAGCAATCATTTCTATGAGGACTTACATCTTGAGTCAATGTTTCAAGAGACTTTCCTCTGCTGATTCGCTGGCTGTTGGAACCATGTCTCAGTGACCTAAAACAATCATAATCAATTTAACGAAACATCTCAAAATGAAATTTTGACCTTTATAGGATGGCCATTATAAAGCACTGCTCTCCAGCCACCCAATATTTCAAATTCTTATCATTCTTCTCTCACTAACATCAGAAGCTTTTATGTTCTTCAATTGTTTTCAATCTGGTCTAACATAAGCCAATTTCTTTCCTTCTGATCTTTAAATTGATAGCTTTGTAGTTGGAGAAGGAAATGACATTTGAAATGAAAAGACATTTTTTCCATTTATACAGTACAATGAATTTCATTATGGTTACAATGAAGAATATAGGATTCAGTTCTTTGTACAAATAAGTATTTTCAGTTTGTCACACGTTAGGTATTGCTCAAATTTAATTTTTTCCGTCACCTTTATTTTAAGAATATTTTTAAACCATCTCTTCTGTCCATGTTTACCTCCGTTCTTGTCGTATATGATGCTGGACACTAAGTATTGACCTTTCCTTTGCAGGCTGCCCCTCAAAGGATCCGCTCAGCATACGTTGTCTAGTGCAGGCCCTATGAAGAAATATAATGATGATGACACAGAGTTTTCCGTATAAAAGATAATTTCTGAGGTAGCATGTTCAAACAAGTCAGCTTGGCTTTCTGGGAAGCAAGTGCACAGCTTAACGGACAGTAACAATAAAATAGCAATGGACTTTACATGAAAAGATATTTCCAACCCAGTGGTCCCCACTTTGCAACATAACCGTCATCTGATGGACGTTCTCCATGCCTTAGCAAGGGCCACCTTTGAGGTTTTTTAGTTTGAGGTAGAGTTTCTGGTCCCTTAAGACTTCACTAAGTGTGAAAAGGGTTAAGCAATGCAGTAATCATCAGTAAAAGCAGCTTCTCAGCAATAAATAAGGGAATAGTAGAAATGCAGCTGTCATTTTAGGGCAGCTCCCTTTCAGGGCTGTACATGGAAAAGTATTTATGTACAAACTCAAGACTTACAGCATATCTTTGAGTGTTCTTCTACATAACTAGGACCATATATGGTTTGAAATGAAAAGCTGCACATTGCTGATATCCTGTCATATGAAATGTCTGCTCTCTGGGAATGCATTGAATTGCAGCATTTTCTTGTGTGATTTTTTTCACTTGTTTGCTCATTTGTTTAATTTTGCTTTGGCTGAATTTCGGCAAACACCTTTTACATCTTACATATTTTGTCAGAAATTTTTGAATTTGTTGGTTAGTAACTGTGCTACAGCTAAACAAAGCACACATATCTTTATTTTGATGACTACAATGAAATGGATTTGCTTAAGAAAAAGGGAAGTTTCCACTATAAGAGCTCACAGAAATCCCCCGACGGCTGAGAAATGGTTTTTTAACATTGGAAAAATATTTTAACTCTCCAGGAATTCTACAATTTTAAGTTTACATAGTGCATGCTTTACTGCTCATTTTGTGCTGTGTAATCATTCAGACAAACACAAGACCCAGTTGGTAATATTTCATCTTTTTAATGAACTGAATCTCCATTTTTTTTTTTTTTCAATTACATGCTACTGGAGTAACCACTCTATTCACTAGTCTACTGTAAGGCTTAGATAAAGGCTATTCTTGACAGCATGTGATGATCATGCTTGATGCCAAAAGGTGTTCCAGGCATGTTCTTTCCCGACTGTGACTTTATTTTTCACTCTTCTCTGCTATTTCTCCTTCTTTTGGGTTTAAACACATAAATGATACGAGAGGGATCCAAAGTGAGATCTGGAACACAAATGAAAAGCTTAGAATGCTTGTCAGTGTCATCACTGTCAATCATACTAGCATGCTAGAAAAATACATTGTGCTACACTTGTTCTAGAAGGCATTAGGTTACACTACACTGAACTGAAGCATCATGCCGTTTAAGAAAATTACTGTATGTCTTATAAAACACAACTCATCTTAGCCAAAACATGAACATTTTAATACCAGTGGATTCTAAGCATCATATTATGGAGGATGATACTACATAACACTGTCAGAAGACGACACAGATATTATTTGCATAACTGTGCAATTTTCTTGTAAAAAACCCAACCTAACAGATAAAAATTATTTCCTAATGTAGGTCCTACCTAACTCCAATGACAATCTAGTTTTTCCTAGCAGAGACAATGGAGAGTTTCGGGGTCTGACTTCTATATAGAGGCTTTGTGTTGTGACAAAGAGGGTAACTTATCTTTTTTTCCTGTAAATATAAATTACTGTGTTCCACTTTTAACATCCAGAAATTATTTTCTTGACATCAAAAAGCAACTTGGACATACACTTTTTATGTCCTTGTACACAGGTTAGTTAAATACCAAGTTACATAAACTATTAGAGTCCCTAATGAAAGAGAACATTAAATGCTCAAACAATAAATTATTTACCCAACTAATGAACAAGATGGCTTATTTGATTATTAATGGTATAATAAAATACATTTAGCCATATACTATACGGAATGGGAATGCATAAAGGGTAACACCTGTAGAAAGACTGTGAGGACTGTTTATGATCTCTGCCTAAGTTAGATTCCTAAATCCATATTTAGAATTTAGATCCATTGTCTCATTTTCAATAACCCTGGAAGCCCTGTAGCTCCTATTGAAGTCAATAGAGAAATAATGAAATGCCAGTTGATTAGCACAGAAATCAGGAATTTTTATCTAGTAACTTCAAAGAAACTTTTTGTATTTTCAGAGAAAAAGATGCTGTGCTGAAAAGGCTGTGGCTACTTTTGACAGCCTCTCTCCCAGCATTCTCCATCTGATCGGAATTAGTGCCTTAATCTTCCTTGTATTAACTTTAGTAAAATGCTTTGTTATCCTTTTGACTTAGGATCTGGATATTTTTTCAGCTGTTTAGACACCTAGAGTTGCAGTTCTTTGGGGACTTTTGAAAAAGAAAGCAAGAACCATGAAGTTTTTAGAACTGCATAGTTGTCAATTTCAGTCTACAATAGGATTTGTTTTCTTATTAGACAACCACACTTATGTGCTTATTCTCAGTGCCTACATGTGAGTCATGTCCAGGCTTCCCACATAACGAGTGGAGATGTAGGAGTCAATTAAATTGGTTGCACAGAGGTGACCAGTGATGCCTGTCACAACTTGAAGTATTTTGCCTTGCTTCCAGCTGCAGCTCCAGCCAGGTATGGGTCCCCTACACACTTCTGTGTTATCTGCTATCCTCAAGAGGATGTTTTGGACAACTTCTGGCATCTCATACATTACTAGATGTCCATCTGTGGACAACTTCATTGAATGCTTGGTGAATCAATTTAAATAATGGTGTTTGGAAGCTATTCAAGTAATCATAAAGCGGTCATGTAAAGACAAAGCAGTCACCTGAAGATCTCACTGGACTCCACTGCCTGTATTGACTAGAACTCTGTCAAGTAGGTGATAGAGGTCATCACTTAGCTCACAGGCAGATCTGGTAGTCTGAAGAAGAATCCCACAGCTGGGACAATCACTGTGCCACAGTGTTAAAAATTTAGTCTTGTGTGGTTTTCAAACTGGAGTTCAAAAAAAGTGTTTTCTTGACTTGATACATCTTCACGTAATTGTAGCTGGTCAGAATCTTTTGACCTTTCTTTGAACAATGCAGGCAAAATTACCTTTTTTTAGCTAAGATTGTCCTTTCCATCTTCCTATACCACCTCTATGAAATACCAGATAGGTCCATGTTCACTTGTGGAGGAATGAGGAAGTTATGAAACAAAGGAGAAGAGAGAAGAAATATGTTGAGCTTCTGGACTTTGTACTCACCTTGAAGAACTCTGAACACAGTCTAGCAGCTGCAAACAACATACTCCAAATTTGTCTTGAAAATCACAAATGTAATAGAATATCCTGAAAAAGAAAATGCAACTTGGTAGTTTATCAGAAAGCCAGACTGCAGGTGAAGACCATACAGAACAATAAGATATTGGGATATCACATAGTTTGTATTACCTGTTAACAATTATGAGGTCAAAACTTTTGAAGTCCTTCAGACTATTTCATGCTTTGTAACCCCTGAAAAATAAGTAGTGAACAGATTGTTCAAGTAACATTCTTTGAGCTAATGTAAAATATTAAATGCTTTGATCAATAGTTCAAAATACTATACCTTTAATGAATATTCTGAGGTGTCTTGCAGAGGGTATGCATATGGCTCATGCTGGGACATTTTAGGGAGGCATCCTTTCCACAACAAGTGTTTGTTTACTTGTCTTCTTGCATTCCAGCGTAACACTGATTTGTTGTTTTTCTGTATTATTTTAATGAGTGAATACTTATCTAGTAACTGCAGCAACTGCATGTATTACTATGTACTTCTCGTTCTTGTTCTCCCTGAAAATGTGCTCACACTGAAGTCTTAGCAGTGTGATATGCTTCAGTAAAACACTCAATTATCAGCCTCATTCAGCCCTGTTTTCACTATGACTCTATCCTTATTAAATCTTCCCATACTCTCATTATACTTGCATCTAACTTGGAATATATTGTTAAATGTGACAACCTAAGATTTGTGGTAAATCCACATGATAGATGTGCTAGTGTTTCTCTCTTTCATTTTATAAATTTAATTCAATAAGGCACTGTTTGAATAGCAAGCAAAATGCACATTTTCATTGCAGCTATATGTGTTCTTATATAAGTTCTTTGGGAAAAATATACTATATTTTAAAGATAGCTGAATTTGACTGGTAAAATAAAATGAATTATTAATGCAATTTCAACAATTAATGGTTTTCCTCTTCCATGTTTTCTCATTTCCCTCCATATATCTCTAAAGGAAAAACCAGTCACTTATTTCCCTTAGTGTCTACCCAGTCTGCTGAATTATGTTAGCATACTTTCTTTCCCTTAGCCATTTCATATTTTCATTGTAATTCTGGCCTTCCTGTTTCAGCTTCTCATCTACCAGATGTTTGTATAGTAATTATTTTCCTTGGTTTATAGAAGAATTGATAGAAACAATGGAGAAGAAGGAACCTCAAGTGGCCCTCTAGTCTATCATCTCTCTCAAAGTGGGATCAATGATAGCTATGCTATTCTGGGCTGATGTTTGTCAAACTTCCTTTTCCACATCTGCAGTGTTGGAGACTCCACAGCACACTAACTCTACTTCACAACAATGCTTTACAGTGATCTATAACATGGTGGTCATTTGGCACAAACCCCATAAACCAGTAACTTCTTACCAAAGAATATGTGCATTTGAGTATTTATTTCCGTTTGTCTTTGCAAGAGGCAGGTGGAATACAGCGATGTCATACACTTGTGGAGATTTAAGGTGGTGGTGACTTAAGTCTGGATTTGGCTCCTGATGACAACAATCATCAACTGAGCCTAACTATAATATTTATTCTGAGAAATGCATGGTATCAAAGCTTCACAGTTATGAAGAAAGAAGTCATATTCTTAAGAAAGAAAACATAAAACATACAGAGAAACTTGTAAGTGATTTAGAAATGACTAATACAAGTTAGTTATTTAATGCAGGAAAATTTCTAATAAAGGATACCAAAGGCATGCCTTCTATGATCACAGAATCACAGACTCATTTATGTTGGAAAAGACCATCAAGTCCAACCATATACCTAATACTGTCAAGGCCATCACTAAACCATGTCTCCAAATGCCACATCTACACGTCTTTAAATACCTCCAGGGATGGTGACTCAACCACTTGCCTGGGCAGCCTGTTACAATGCTTCACAACCCTTTCAGTGAAGAAATTCTTCCCAATATCCAATCTAAACCTCGCCTGGCGTAATTTGAGGCCATTTCCTCTTGTCTTATTGCTTGTTACTTGGGAGAAGAGACTGACACCCACCTCACTACCATCGCCCTTCAGGTAGTTGTAGAGAGTGAGTCTCCCCTCAGCCTCCTTTCCTCCAGGGTAAACAGCCCCAGCTCCCTCAGCCACTCCTCAAAAGATTTATGCTCCAGACCCTTCATCAGCTTTGTTGCCCTTCTTTGGACATGCTCCAGCACCTCAATGTCTTTCTTGTAGTGAGGGCCCCAAAACTGAACACACTATTCAAGGTGCAGCCTCACCAGTGCTGAGTACAGGGGGACAATCACTTCCCTAGTCCTGCTGGCCACACTATTGCTGACACAAGCCAGGATGCCATGGGCCTTCTTGGCCACCTGGGCACACTGCCGGCTCATATTCAGCCGGCTGTCGACCAACACCCCCAGGTCCTTTTCCAACAGGCAGCTTTCCAGCCACTCTGCCCCAAGGCTGTAGTGCTGCATGGGGTTGTTGTGACCCAAGTGCAGGACCTGGCATGGAGCCTTGTTGAACCTCATATAGTTGGCCTTTGTCCATTGACATGGTCTGTTCAGATCCCACTGTAGAGCCTTCCTGCCCTCAAGCAGATCAACACTCCTGCCCAACTTGATGTTACCTGCAAACTTACTGAGGGTTCTCTCAATCTCCTTGTCCAGATCATTGAAAAAGATATTAAACAGAACTAGCCCCAATACTGAGCCCTGGGGAACACCACTTGTGACCGGCTGCCAATTGGATTTAAATCCATTCACCACAACTCTTTGGGCTTGGCCAGCCAATTTTTAAACCCAGTGAGGAGTACTCTTGTCCAAGCCCTAAGCAGCCAGTTTCTCCTGGAGAATGCTGTGGAAAATGGTGTCAAAGGCTTTACTAAAGTTGAGGTAGACAACATCCACAGCCTTTCCCTCATCCACTAAGTGGGTCACCTTGTCATAGAAGGAGATCAGGTTAGTCAAACAGGACCTGCCTTTCATACACCCACACTGACTGGGCCTCATCACTTGGCTGTCCTGTACGTGCTGTGTGATGGCACCCAAGATGATCTGCTCCTTAATCTCTCCCAGCACCAAGCTCAGACTGATGGGCCTGTAGTTCCCCAGATCCTCTTTCTGGTCCTTCCTGTAGATGGGTGTCACATTTGCTAACCTCCAGTCAACTGGGACATCCTCAGTTAGCCAGGACTGCTGGTAAATGATGGAAAGTGGCTTGGTGAGCACTCAGTACCCCTGGGAGGATCCCTTCTGGACCCATAGACTTGTGTGTGTCTGAGTGGTGTAGCAGGTCACTAACCATTTCCCCTTGGATTATCGGGGCTTCATTCTGCTCCTCATCCCTGTCTTCCAGCTCAGGGGTCTTGGTATCCAGAGAATAACTGGTTTTACTATTAAAGACTGAGCCAAAGAAGGCATTAAGCACCTCAACCTTTTTCTCATTCTTTGTCGCTATGTTTCCCTCCCACATCCAATAAGGAATGGAGATTCTTCTTAGCTCTCCTTTTGCTGCTCATGTGTTTTAGAAATATTTTTTATTGTCCTTTATTGCAGTAAACATATTAAGCTCTAGTTGGGTTTTGACCCTTCTAATTTTCTCCCTCCATAACCTCACAGCATCCTTGGAGTCCTCCTAAATTGCCTGCCCCTTCTTCCAAAGGTCATAAACTCTCCTTTTTTACCTTGAGTTCCAGGCAAAGATCTCTGTTCAGCCAGGCTGGTCTTCCTAGCCAGTTTGTCTTTTGGCACACAGGGATGGGCTGCTCCTGTGCCTTTAAGTTTTTCTTCTTAAAGAATGTCCAACCTTCCTGAGCTCCTTTGCCCTTCAAGACTGACTCCCAAGGGACTCTGCCAACCAGGCTCCTAAACAGGCCAAAGCCTGTCCTCTGGAAGTCCATGGCAGCAGATCTGCTGATCCTCTCCTTACTTCTCCAAGAATCGAAAACTGTTGCCATTTCATAATTGCAATGTCCATGATGGCCTCCAATCATCACATCACCCTCAAGTCCTTCTCTGTTCACAGACAACAGGTATAGGGGAGTACCTTCCCTAGTTGGCTCCCTCAGCAGCCATGTTAGGAAGTTATCTTCCACACACTCCAGGAACCTCCTGGACTGTTTCCTCTCTGCTGTATTGTATTTCTAGCAGACATCTGGTAGGTTGTAGTCCCCCACGAGAACAAGGGCTAGTGACTGAGAGACTTCTTCCAGCTGCTTATAGAATATTTTGTCTGTCTTTTTACCCTGTTGGGTGGCCTGTAACCAACTCCTACCATGATATATCTGCCTTGTTGGCCTTCCCCCTGGTTCTTACCCGTAAACACTCAACCCCATCGTCACCACATTCAAGATGAAATGACTGGCTATATGGACAAGTGAGAAGCAGTGTTTGACACAGTGAATCGTGGAACATTAAACCAGAAGAACCCTGATAAACTTGAGAACTGAGTCAGCAAAAGGTTCAGGAAGTTGGACGAGGAAATATGCATGTGCAGAGTTTCACATCTGGTGCAGAATAGCTCCATGTGTCCATGAAGGCTGTGGAGTGGCTGGCTGAGAAAAGGATCTGGGAGCTACATTGTGCACTGGATCTGAATGGGATGGGGTTACTTGGATGATAACTGGATGAAGGCGTTCCTGCCATCGGTAAGTCAAATTGCCTGTTATATTAAGGAGGAATGTAGCCAGCATATTCAGGGAAGTTATTAGCCCTCCTCTACTCAGAGCTGGAGAAGCTGGACCTAGGACACACTTTTAGGTACTTCAGAAGGGATGTTGAAACACAGCAGCAGGTACAAGTGGTCAGTAGCCTACAGCACACAGGAGACTTGAGAGATCTGGGCTTGTTTACTTTGGTGAAGAGGAGGTTAAACCATGGAGCTAAACTTTCATTACTGTGAGATGACTGAGCAGCGAGCAATGGCCAGAAACAGTGGCTTGGACGGTTCAGACTGAGCATCAGGAAAACCTTCTCTCAAGGGTAGGGTAATGCAGTGCTGGAATCAGAGCAGGTGGAAGATGAAAATCTCATCTCAACCAGGATTAGCAATAATCCTACCTGAAGTGGTCAGTTGGACAACATGGCCTCCAAAGTTCCTTTCCAACCAATATGTCTTATGTTCCTGTGATAAACAAACTAATGAAAATGCTTGCTCATTCTCTTACGACACGGTGTATTACATTATTGTATTAATGTCCAGAGAGAATTTATTCAGAAATTAACTTTATAACTTTCCTAGAAGCACAAATA